ATCCCCAAATCAATAACCGAATAACTAAAGTTAGAGCACGGAAACGAAAAATTCAGCAACTTTTTCATTTGTAAAGGGGCATAACTCAAGAACAGTTGAAGTGACAGTACCAAAATTCAAACTTGATCTGTGTTTTGTGGTAATAAGCATTGTGTATAAGTTTCATAACATTTGGTTGAGGCAATCTAAAGTTAGAGAATGGAAACCAACTTTGGGACGTATGGACAGACAAGGGTAAAACTTAATGCCCCCTCCGCTACGGTGGGGGCATAAAAATAAAAGTTCAGGTAATTTACCAAAAGTGCTCCATGTATTATTTCATTATGTTTACCTGAATGGGTGCAGCTGGACTATCTATATACTTATTTTAGATATATTGTACTTAGGTGATAGTAGAAAAAGGTATTGACTTCCAATTATCTTATACATATCCCCATACAAATGTACTTGTACAGTGGGCCTCACTTAATTGCATAAAATCTGTTCTTAAAAGCAATAGAATTTAAGATACATATAACATATATGTATATATTGTTATATGAATTTTACTCATTTCTATCCATATGATAGAAATGAGCTAAATTTGATCCCCCAAAAAACAAAAATAAAAACAAAGTAAATGTTACAGTAGTCAATTATAATATTATGTACTTATTAGATGCAGGCTTTTTTTTAACAGTTAAACAATTATTCTACCATTAGGCTGTCAGTTTTGACATAAATTCTAATTTGGCACTAACAATTTCCTAAATTTCAAAATATAAGTTCATGAAAGGTCAAAAAAAAATTTTCAATACAAAATGAAATACCATCCAATTAAATGACAGAAATTGCAAAATTAAGTAGAAATTAATAACACTAGTGTATGTACAGCTTTTTGTGACATACTGTAAATGAGGAAAAGTAAAAGTTTGGGGGTTGTTTAAAAGCAAAAAAAAAATGTGTACCAGCACCAACAAAAAGAAATCTATATGATCATGCTGATAAAAAATCACAATAAATGAACAGTTTGGGCACTACAAAATTACATGAGAATGGGACCAATGTCAAGTGTACACATATCAAATTTGCTACTGAAACATATTGCATTTTACGGGGGCCAAAGTACAATGTAGAAAATAAATCAAATTTTGTAAGTCCTAAAGGAAAATGTAGGTAAAAGAACTAAAAAAGAATTTAACTGACATATGGAAATGTCTTCACAGTGGCAAGGAGGAAGGTATATGAATATTTTGTAAGTTTAAACTTCTGTTTTATCTAAACTATTGAACTTAAAATTTGGACACACAAGAACCAGCTTAGGACCTGAGGTTCTATACTTTGTTTTTAGGACAAAAGCACAAACTTTAATTCATTTTGTAGATTATCAACATAGTCATTGTTGGGACCCTTTATAGCTTGCTGTTTGGTGTGAGCCAAGGCTCTGTATTGAAGGCTGTACTTTGACATGTAATGGTTTACTTTTACAAATTGTGACTTGGATGAAGAGTTGTCTCATTGGCACTCATACCACATCTTCTTATATCCATGATATCTATAGGCTTACACTGAGTGTTTGGATAACAAAAACATTAAAAGAAAAGACAGCACTTCCATAGATATTTTCAAAAAATTTCATAAACAAATTGCAACTAGAAGTTAAAAAATGGTCTTCAAGAAACAGACATATATGTTAAAACCATTAAATTTTTTTTTTACAATTTGATGACCATTTTTTATTTGTTCCCATTTTGTAAAAGGCTACAAAGCAATTATCTAGAAAGGTATTTTCATAACCTACCAGTAAATATCTCATGATGCAAATGTGGTTAGATCATTATCACATCTAACTTTAACAAAATAATATGCAATAAACAGGTATTGACTGCAAAATATTAATAACAAAATCTATCAAAATATAAAGATAAAAAAATCACCATGGCAACTGAAATGACAATGTTTTCTGTATCATCAAGTTGCATCAAATTAATTTTACAATCTATGTTTCATCATTTGAATGACAAAAGGAAATAAATATGAGCATAATTCATATCCAATCTGATTATATTACATGTATACATGTACATATATATTAAGTTAAAGTTCATACAAGCAAACATTATGATTATCACTATATTTGTCTGTTTGAGCTTTTACTTAAAAGAGCATTAGCTGTCAAATTCATGTTCACTTTTATAAATTTTGACTTGGTTGGAGAGTTGTCTCATTGGCACTCATACCACATCTTCTTATATCTATCAACAATTTGACTCAAATACATGTATTTGATTTATAATTTAAGAAAATGTATACATCCAAATTACAAAAAGTCTTAAATAAACAATTCATGGACTAGATTATATGCATCAACAGTTGTAATTAACAATCAAATAACCTCTGAAGACTGCCTACAGACTGCCTACGGTCATATAACCCAATTAAACATGAATTTAAATATAAACAGATAGAAAGCACTTGCAATTGGATTTTTCTAGGTCTGTTTGATTTCATGCTATAGGTTAAAAAATATGTTAATCATCGTTTTAACCTGCACATAAGAATGATTTTTTGGGATCGAATCAGTCAATGAAATGATTCACCCTTGTTTCACTTCCAATGTTGACATTCTTTTCCTTTTTATAGCTGAAAACGCCTTGTACATGCGTAACCTATCTCCAGCTAAAGGGTTAAATTGAAGGTCACATGAATACGGATTCAAATGAGGTTGAATTATTAACTTGCAAGTCAATAATACATCAGCAATGTTCTTATTTTGACAAATTTGGGCCAAACTGACAGCTTTATATAACGAAATATTATTTCTAAATTCCACTTTCATCAATTCTTGAAACAAAAAGAATAGAATTTAAATTTTTGTCTAAATCGTAGCTTATTCCACTTAAAAGTCATATGAAACGAGTTTCTGGAAATTATGATGTAAAGGAAATTTTTTAACCAATTTCTGACTGTTAATGACGTCTTTACACTAAATCCATTGGATGTTGGATGTGTACCGATTGATATTTTAGTCTTATTTGTCTTATATGCGGTATGGGTTTAACTCATAGTTGAAGGCCGTACGGTGACCTATAGTTGTTAATTTCTGTGTCATTTGGTCTCTTATGGAGAGTTGTCTCATTGCAAATCATACCACATCTTCTTATTTTTATATATATACTAAACTAAGTCCATTATGAACAATTCTTTACAATTATTACAAATCCATAACCTATAATCGACAAAAAAATAATTAATTCAGTGAAAACTTTTCCAGTATAAAAAACATAATGTAAATTCAGAAATCATTGGGAGGTTTTTATTATTGCCAATATTGCGAATATGTCACAGTATCACAATGATATGAATTTGCATTCTGAATTTATTATCATATGCAGATTTTCCTGAAATCGCAATAATTAATCTCACATTTTTGTTCATTCTTCAAAAATCACAATAATTTTTACATTTACAGTAATTAACTTTTTTAGAAAATTTGAAGTACCACATGATTTTAATATGATTCTCTATAACATTCCTTCAGTCCATTGCTGAATTGTGAGGAGTACATGCAAAAAAAAAAAAATGTTATGATTTCTCAAATGCATATTTTATGGAAAAATGAAACAAGACTAATTGATGTTTGATTGATAAAGCCTTTTTTCATATTCAATAGTTGCAACAGCTTTCTCAATTAACTATTGACACAGAGATAATTGTCTCTCCTATGGGCAGATAATTCAGAAAAAGACAATCTGATAGACAGCAACATTGCTAATTAATTCAGTCACTGGACCATGACCTAGTGGACAGGGCCTTGAAATTATTGTCAAACTGATATGTACTAATAGTAATGCAACTTTATAGAAAATATCATTGATCTATCACAAGTAGTACCTATCAAATTGACTTCAGCAGAAAACTTAACAATTGTTGACGCTGTAGACACAGTCTTTACTGACAAGGACTTCTTTTAAACTGTGTGTATAGCTGTGTGTTTGTTTATTCCACATTGGCTAGAGGTATAGGGGGATGGTTGAGATCTCACAAAACATGCTTAACCCAGCCGTATTTATTGCACCTGTTCCAAGTCAGGAATCTCTAGCCTTTGTTAGTTTTGTGTGTTTTTTTAATGTTATGTTCATTTATATGTTTTCGAGTTTTAGTGTGGCATCCATTTCGCTAAATTGGTATACATTATTGTTTAGGGGCCAGCTGAACCAAACTTCCGGTTGCAGGATTTTCTTGATGTGTTAAAGACTCATTGGTGGCCTTGCACTGTTTTCTGCTTTTTAGACGGGTTGTTCCCTGTTTCCATTCTCAATTCTATTAAGCAGAAAACTTTACATTGAAAATTGCGTATTAATTGAAAGTCGCTAGACCAGGATCTAGGGGGAGGGCCTCGAAAATAGTTGTAGAAACTGATATGTACTGATAGTAATGCAACTTTGTAGAAAATATCATGAATCTATCACAAGTAGTTCCTATCAAACTTACGTAAGCAGAAAACTTAACCATTGTTGACTCCATCGCCATTGTAGATGACGGAAAAGCAACACCTATGTCTTACCTTCAGGAACTTTCTTCCCAGGCGAGACAAAAACCTCAATCATATATGTATCATGTGTATGTACAAATTTACCAGTCCAATGAAGCAAGTTCCATGTATTTATATAACCATGAACTTATGACATGCTTGCTCGAAACCTCAATCATATATGCCATCTACAAATTCACCAATGAAACAAGTTCCAAGTATTTATCTAATAATGAATCTATTTTAAGTGGTATGTCAAAGTCTCAAACATATTGCAGGAGTGCTTTATCAAAATCTTAATCATATGGGATACATGTACAAATTCACCAATGAAACAAATTTCAAGTATTTATCTTACAATGTACTTCTTATAAACTACTGATACAGATCCTGCATATAATTATATAAATATGAACATTACTGTTAATAACATTAAGACATCAAACACTAATCTAATAAACTTGTATGTTGCAATTAGATTACAAACCCTGTGTTATTTCTTATTCATTGACAAGTAAACATAGGGCTGGCAAAAGTCAGTAACAAGACTGTAAGACAATCATCAAGTTAAAATGAAGTTCAAGTGTCCTCAGCCATGTGGAGATTTTTCTAATATTTCCTGCAGGAGTAATTATTTCTAAAATAACAAACAAAATAATAAAAAAAATGTCCATACATGTAAGATGTCATTATACTCTCATACTTTCACTTTTCTATGTTCAGTGAAGTGAAATCTGGGTCAATATTTTAAACTTTGTCATAACTATATGCTTGAAATTTACATCATATAATGAATATTAGTACTACGTTCCAGGTTGATGTGACCTGATAACTGTCATATTACAAAAAAAAAAACAATTACGGTATAACTTATGATCAATATAAATAATCATAATTTTTATGAAGACAGCTGATTACTTTTATTACTTACCTGTATAAAGGTCTGTAATTCTAATTATTTAAAAAATGAACGGTCGGTTTATAAGGTCTAACCTAGAAATGGTAATAGTATTAAACACTTGTGTCCACACATTATACAGTGTACATTTACTTTATATTTAACAAAGTATGTGTACACTATATTATATTCAACAGGTTATAAAATTTTAGGTTCATTGATTATATGTATCAAATTCAAAATCTGATTGAATGGTTTACCTGTATATTCTGTAGCTATCAAATTTTCTGTATAAAAAACTCCATATATTAATGATTTAATCTTAACATCTTGTACCCACCCTAGGGTGTAAGTTCATTTTTATCAGTCAAATAAATAATATCTATTCCAAGCACAAGGGAAAATACACCTTACTGTTACATTTTACAAAATAAATGGGCAAAATATACAATCTACATTGGGCTTGTAATTATAAAGGGGATCAAGTGGTCCTACTGGCCCATGCATATGGTACCACAGTGCTATCTAAATTTAAATATATTATAGTGAAAATTTATTAGAAATAATAGTATACATTGGGGAGAGGGGGTATTCATTTCCATTTTAATTAGGTCATTTTTCTCTACTTGTTATTTTTTGGCCAATTATTCTCTTTTCTGTACATTTAAGCACCCCATTATGTTCTATTCTTTTTCTGCCTTTTTTCCTTTTTTTTTTTTTTTTTGCCCATGCCAGTATTCTCTTTTCTGTAAATTCTCAGCTTCCAGACTCTCATAAACATGTTTAAGACAAACACTGCTATTTCAAAATACTGGGGAGAACACAGGCCTAACCTGACATAAAAGAAATAGAGTCTATTATTTGTGTAGGCACTTAAGTCTTTTCCAAGTACCGGTAAACCCAAACCTTTGGAATGTTTCAAATCCTTCAACTATACTTTGAGTGACTGATCATAATTGTTCATGATTCTTTTTACTTAACAGCATGAATAATGACATTTCCTGCAAATCAAATAAGCCATTTTCCTATCTATGAAAAAAGTAGGTTTTTTTTAGAGCAATTTCCCATTTCAGCTATCAATTTTTTAAAAGGATTTGACATTACCAGTATCTAGAAGAAGAAACAGTTTCAACATGAATGAACTACACACACATATAAATACCTTGTAATACCTCCTTCTCAGGCACACCCCAATATGAAAAAGTATCTATTATTGATATAATGGAAAAATTACAAAATATTTCCAATATATCAAAATTAATGTTTTTCATATAAATCAATAAACAGCTGCGCCATGAGCGCATGATACGCCCGTTGTCTTGTGTGTGAATTTTTATGCAATAAGCATAAATAGTTTCTGACATACGGCGTGACATGCGAAAACCCCTCCCCCTTTTTTTACAAAATACTCAATATCTCAAAAATAAAATTTTGAATCAAAACCAAAAAGTATACAGATCCTTAGATTAATATAACTAAGAAGTGTGTAAAATTTTAAGCAATAATCATAAATCGCTTTTGAGATACGGCGCGACATGTGAAAACCTCCCCTTTTAAAAAAAAAAAATCAATATCTCAAAAATAAAATTTTGAATCAAAACCAAAAAGTATACAGATCCTTAGATTAATATAACTAAGAAGTGTGTAAAATTTTAAGCAATAATCATAAATCGTTTTTGAGATATGGCGCAACATGTGAAAAACCCCTCCCCCTTTTTTTACAAAATACTCAATATCTCTAAATAAAATTTTGAATCATCACCAAAAAGTATACAGATCTTAAGATTAATATAACTAAGAAGTGTGTAAAGTTTTAAGCAATAATCATAAATTGTTTTTGAGATACGGCGCGACATGTGAAAAAAAAACACACACCTGTTTTAGTTACTAAGTCCCCTAACTCAAAAAGTTTTAATCTTATTTTCACCAAAAAGTATACAGATCGTTTGACCATCATAAGAAACAACTATGTTAAGTTTCATGAAATTTGGATAAGTCATTCTCAAGTTACGGTACGACATGTTTACGCCGGACAGACAGACGGACGGACAGACAGACGGACAGACAGACGGACGGACGCCGGACATTTGTATACCATAATACCTCCCGTCAAAAATTTGACGGGCGTATAAAAATGGTGCAAGCAGATTTTTAAAATGGTGACAAAACAATCACTTATTATTCTACAGGTATATATTTGTACACAAGGAAATCCCAATCTAGGATGAGTTTATATATATGTGTACAAAACTTACATCTTGTCTCCATCAAGTCAGTAAAAGTGCAAACATTGACACATGTACCGATCCCCCCAAAAAGGCACCTTTCGTCCAAATGAGCAAATAGGAAATAAAATACTCACAATAACTTTTGATCAAAGATAATTCCATAAAACAAGGAAAAAATGTACATTACAAAAGAAGACTCACCTTTAAATGTAAAACGATTAGTTTATGGTTTATAGATCGACACAGATATTGACCCAAGAATGAATTCATCCAAGTTGTCATAATAGTAGTAAATAGCACATAGTAATTCAACTCTTGCCAGTACATATTCATAATGCATACATTCTTGTGTTTAAAAAATCAATAAATCTAAATTAAGTACAAAAAATCATCCTTCTTAACATGTTACATGTATATAATGTACAGAGATTTAATAGTCTTTATAACATTTTTAAAAATAGTTTGAGAATACATGTAAGTATAAGCAGCTGAAATTTAATCAATGAAAAAAATTGGACCAATTCTAAATATGTACAATACACTTATTAACTTTTTATTGAATTAATGCATATGTACATCAACAGTGCACAAGTAAATTTTGACATTATATTGGTTATTAATTCAGGTTTTTAATTCTATTTATTTAGTTAAAAATGCAAACCTTGATAAAATTTCATCAAAAAAACTCACTGGGATTGATAGGAACAAATGAAACAGGATATGAAATATCCTTCGTTACAAATTTATGGTTTACCCCATCCACAACAACAGTAAACAAATTTATGGTTTATCCCATCCACAACAACAGTAAACAAATTTATGGTTTACCCAATCCACAACAACAGAAAACAAATTTATGGTTTACCCAATCCACAGCAGCAGTAAACAAATTTATCAATAATGATTTAGTACATGTACCTCATGCATTCAAATTAAACAAAAACGAATTTGAACAGAAAAATAAGCACGATACCGTTTTCTTCCGGAATCCTTGCAAAATATTTTAAAACAATGGATCGATGTCAAAGTAGGCCTCTGGGATAAGCAAATTATGAATATTAAACAAAGAAAAGAATAACAACCAAATAGTATTATGGATTTAGACTTTAATTATCACATACGTCAATGGTGATTCATGTATCATATCACCTATCCTTTTGAACACAAATAAAATTGACATCTTATATATAGGCCTATATAATTACTATCTTATAATAGGTGATGTCCTGTATGCAAATTTAAACATATTTTTTCAATGTCATCTACAATCTAATTGGAAAAAATACCATAGATTCTAACAAAATTATTTTATTTATATAGTTACAACTAATGTATTAATTTAAAAATTTTATTTAATGCCTAGAGTGTCATTTATTAGGATTCACTTACTTTTCATATGGCATCCTACATTAACTGAATCTGAAAAGGGGCAGAAAGGAGGGGGAGGGGGATTTAAGATTGGAACTTTGGAAACTATTTTCTTTTTGATCACATAACAATCAATAAAAAGAATGTGTCCATAGTACTCGCACTATCATTTTCTATGTTCAGTGGACCGTGAAATTGGGGTCGAAACTCTAATTTGGCATTAAAATTAGAAAGATCATATCATTGGGAACATGTGTACAAAGTTTCAAGTTGATTGAACTTCAACTTCATCAAAAGCTACCTTGACCAAAAACTTTAACCTGAAGTGGGACAGACCGATAGACGAACTGACAGATGAAAAGGATGCACAGACCGAAAAACATAATGCCCCTAGGTGGGGCATACAAATTAAACTGGAACCCCAACAACCTTGCATCAGTTGTTCTCCTTATATTTTGAAATATATAAAAAAGATACACTACTAAATTAAGAGTGACTATAAGATGTCTCAGTATGACAGGAATGGCCCTGCTTAAAGCCTAATTGTTAAATGTACATTTCTGTGAATTCATAATAATGGTGAGATTAGCAAAAAGGTTTAGAATAGTATACTATCCATGATGTTTGACAAATGTTGATCATGATCATCAAAAAAATAAAACGCAAGTGCTATTCCGTGAAAAAAGGTCAACTGGAACAATTAAAACCAAATCTGGTTCTGTAAGTCATCATTATACACAAATGTACTTTAAATCAGATACAAATCTGTCTTATAAAAAAATGACATTTTCTTACATTGTAGTTCAAGGGCTGTAACTCTATCAACTCTATCAAATGTCAGTCAACTGGAATGTATGTGTTCAATTAATTTCAATACTCCAACTACAAGTTTGTTACAAACTTACAATTTTCAAACAAGTCAATGAAATTTAAAAAAAACAAGTGTACTCAAGTTTGATAGCAAATATGTGAAGATCAGACTGTGCTTGAAATTATCATATACATGTACCACATGTACATATGTCAGTATGTTATTCCACAGAATTTAGAATTTAAGTATTATGTATACTTACATTTTTCTTAAGAAATTCACACATTGACAAAATGTTCACATATATATATGTAAAATTATCCAATTTTCTTGTGTCTCAAATTACTATTGAAATTGCCCTATACGTCATTAAATATATATACAGCACAATAATGAATGTTTCATAGTAAGACGCCCCAGACGTCATACAGAACAATAATGAATGTTTCATAGTAAGACGAATGTA